CGTTGCTCAATGTTGCTGGACGTTGCTTGATGTTGCTAGACGTTGCTCGATGTTGCTGGACGTTGCTTGGCGTTGCTCGATGTTGCTGGACGTTGCTCGATGTTGCTTGATGTTGTTAGGCGTTGCTCAATGGTTCTTGATGTTGCTGGACGTTGCTCGATGTTGCTGGACGTTGTTAGGCGTTGCTCAATGGTTCTTGATGTTGCTGGACGTTGCTCGATGTTGCTGGACGTTGTTCGCAGGTGTGGGAGATCAAGTGCGCTGACCTCTCAGTCTCTCCGGTCCACAAGGCCGGCATGGGCATCGTCGACCCGGAGAAGGGCATCTCCCTGCGCTTCCCCCGCTTCCTCCGTATCCGCGACGACAAGAAGCCGGAAGAAGCCACGTCGAGTTCTCAGGTGAGCGGGTTGCCGTGACGACGGGCCGCCCTCGGCCCGTAAGTTCACCTTGGTGCCGGCGACAAACGCCTCGGGGCATGCTGTCGGAAAAATCGTGGATAAATACAATATCATGAGTCAAAAACGTCGTTTTTAACTAATAAAAAAACAATTTTTAAATTAAAGTGTTGTCTAAAGGTTTTGAACATTTCCGAGTTCCGATAGTCTGATAACTATTTGCGATGTTTCCATCAACGGGCCCCTGGTTTTTGCAATCTATTTCTATTTCATTGGTTAATTTTCTCAAGCAATAAGTTTTTAAAGTTGGCATTTCTTCCTTTTTTATACGACAATAAGAGTGTGAATCGACGTAAATCAATTTAGATTCAAATCAAATCGAGTTGAATTAGCATTGAATATAATTGGATTCAACAGCGGTGGCCGTGAATTTTTCATCAATCGCACCTTATTGTCACACCGATAGTGTGCTTTGACGCGCGACTGACAGTGACAGTGACAGTCACCAGAGGGAGCTCGTATGTGACGCGAAGCATTGTTCGTTTTTGTCTTGCGTGCACGCGCGCGCGCGCAGGGTAAAAAATACACGGGAGCGATTTGCTGTTCAAACCTCCGAAATCGCTCCCGTGAGGCTCAAAATAGCTCCCGTAAAATTTTTGACGAGAGCTATTTTTCCCGCAGACTTGAGAAAGAGCTCCCGTGAAAAAAAAGTTACTTTTTCCCTGGCGCGCAGGTAGCAGACATGTATCGCGACCAGGAGCAGGTGAAGAACCAGAAACCCGCCAACGATGCAGACGACGAGTTCTACTGATGCGGCTCCTCACCAGGTGGAGCCACGCACTTGTGAGGTGAGCGTCGCGCGTGTTTCGTATGCCGAGCGGAACTTGATTCCGCGGAGGGATGGGATATCGTGTAGACTGTCGGGGAAGATAATGGGGGGGGGGATTTCTTCCTCTTCCATTCTTTTTTTTTCCTGTCTCCCCCTATTCTCTCACTCTTCCTTTCCTGCTCACTCTCTCCTTCTCTCCCTCTCCCTCTCCCTCTCCCTCTCCCTCTCCCTCTCCCTCTCTCTTTCTCTTC